GGGGCCTCTTTTCGTCCTCCTGGGGGTCTCTTGGTGCCCTTTTGGGCCGTCTTGAGGGCCTCTTGGGCCGTCTTGGGGCGATGTGGGGCCGTCTTGGTGTCATCTTGGGCCGAGCTCTTGGGGCTGTCTTGGGTGTTTCGTGAGCCGTCTCGGGCGCCTCTGGAGCCGTCCCGGGGCCGTCTCGGGCCGTTTTGAGGTCCTCTTGGGGGCGTCTAGGAGCATCTCGGGCGATCCGGGGGCCTGTACAGCCAGCCGTCTTGGAGACTGTGCAGACGGAAAGGCTTGGAGACGGGGCGGCGGGGGCCTGTACAGCCATCTTGGAGACGGGGCAGTGAGGCCGTCTTGGGCCATAATGAACTGCTCTTGGGGCTGTCTTGGGTGCGTCTTGGGCCGTGTCGGGCGCCTCTGGAGCCGTCCCCGGGCCGTGTGGGGCCGTTTTGGAACGCTCCTGGGGGCCTCTGCGTGCGTTTTGGGGCGAGCTGGGGGGCCTGTATAGCCGTCATGGACGCTGTGAGGACGAAAGAACAAGACATAGTGAACATGTGCGTTTTTCCGTCGGGAATGGCTTGGGAGCCGCCTGGCCTGCCTTGGGGGCCTCTGGGGCTGTCTTGGGGCTCCCAAGGGTGATCTGAGGCCGTCTTGGCGCCCCCTGGAGCCTCTCAGAAGCGTCCCGTGGGCCATAATGAACTGCTCTTGGGGCTGTCTTCGGTGCGTCTTGGGCCGACTCGGGCGCCTCTGGAGCCACCCCGGGGCCGTGAGGGGCCCTTCTGGGGCGCTCTTGGGAGCCTCTGGGCGCGTTTTGGGGCGAACTGGAGGGCCTGTATAGCTGTCTTGGACGCTGCGAGGACGAAACAAATAACATACTGAAAATGTGCGTTTCCCGTGGGGAATGGGACGATGTTGGCCTCTTGGGGCTCTCCTGGAGGCCCTCCTGGGCCGTCTTGGTGGCCGCCTGGCCTAGGGCCTCTGGGGACCTCTTGGCGTTCCCTTGGGGGGGTCTTGGGGCCTTGTGTGTGAGCGTATGGGGGCCCAGGGCTCGGAGTGTCAGGGTTTTTCCCCGTTCTTTGGCCCCCATCTTGGGCCTGGCTTGGGGTCCTCTGTGGTCGGCTTGGCCGCCTCTTGGGCCATCTTGGGGCTCCCTGGGCTGTCTGGGGACGCCGAGAAGGCGAGAAGGCAACACTCCTGCAAAAACCATAGAAAATTACTAACTGCGTGTAGCTCCGCACATGTGCATCCTTTTAAAACGGTAATATTGTATTTGGGATATTGGAAAGCACCACGGAGAAAGAAAGCAACATCCCACGGTGACACAAGCTCTGCGCCAGCAACACCTGGTCACTCCTCCTTGACCGCCGTACGCAACATGGAGAGCCACTCGGGACACAACGCAAAAGCAGAAAACAGGCAAACCGCTGGAGACATCCCCACAGAACGGCCGCGAACGGGACCGTGAAGCACCCTTGGCGGCTCCTCTTAGGTGGCTGAAACCAGCGCCCCGCCTGAGACATCCTCACAATCTGCTCTCTAAGCGAAGGATGTTGCGACAGCAAACAAGCAAACCGCTCGAGACATCCCCACAACACGGCCGCGAACGGGACCGTGTCATACCCCTCGGCGGCTCCCCTTAGGCGTGCTGAAACCAGCGCCCCGCCTGAGACATCCTCACAATCTGCTCTCCAAGCGAAGGATGTTGGGACAGAACACAAGCAAACCGCTTGAGGCATCCTTAAAAAACGGCCGCGAACGGGACCGTGCCATACCCCTTGGCGGCTCTTTTAGGGGTGCTGAAACCAGCGCCCCGCCTGAGACATCCTCACAATTTGGGCGCCCGAACTATCCGGGGTAACTCGGGTCCGGGGTAAGTCGGGTTCGGAATCCTGAAAAAAAAACAACCCGAGTTAGCCCTGACCCGAGTTACCCCTGATGATTCGGGGCTCTGGACGCCCGAACTATCCGGGGTAAGTCGGGTCGGGGTAAGTCGAGCTTGGATTCCCGAAAAACGAACCCGAGTTATCCCTGACCCGAGTTACCCCTGATGATTCGGGGCTCTGAACAATCTGCTTTCCAAGCCAAGGATGTTGGGACAAAAAACAAGCAAACCGCTCGAGACATCCCCACAAAACGGCCGCGAACGGGACCGTACCATACCCATCGGCGGCTCCCCTTCGGGGTGCTGAAACCAGCGCCCCGCCTGAGACATCCTCACAATCTGCTCTCCAAGCGAAGGATGTTGGACCAGAAAACAAGCAAACCGCTTGAGACATCCCCACAAAACGGCCGCGAACGGGACCTTGTCATACCCCTCGGCGGCTCCCCTTAGGGACGTGCAAATGAGCGCCTCGCTCGAGTCATCCTCCAAATCTGCTCCGAAAACGAAGGATGTTGGGACAGAAAGCAGGCAAACCGCTTGAGGCATCCCCACAAAACGGCCGCGAACGGGGCGTGCGTGAGTCTCAGCATGAGTAAGTCTGAGTAGGAGTAGTTCTGAGTATGCGTAGGTCTGAGTATGAGTAATTCTGTGTGTGTGTGTGAGTAAGTCTGGGTAGGAGTAAGTCTGAGTGTGAGTCAGTCTGTGTATGAGTAAGTCTGGGTATGAGGAGGAAAGGGGAGGAGAAGGAGAATGAGGAGAAGTCCGCGGCGTCCAAAAATAACAAGAACCCCTTATCTTAGGAGATGGGGAACTACCGGATTTTGGCATCTTGGGGCATGCTTTGGAGGACTGTTGGAGGCTCTTGGAGGCCTCTTGGGGGGGTCTTGGGGCCTTGTGCGGGAATATGGGGGCCTAGGGCTCGGAATGTCAGTGTTTTTCCCCGTCCTTTGGCCCCCATCTTGGGCCTGGCTTCCGGTCCTCTGGGGCCGGCTTGGGCGCCTCTTGGGCCATCTTGGGGCTCCCTGGGCCTTCTGGGGACACGCTGGGAAGCCTGGTGGGCCGTCCTGGGGCGGTCTTGTGGGTCTCTTCGGCCGTCTTGGAGCGTCGGCTAGCCGAGAAGGCGAGAAGGCAAAACTCCTGCAAAAACCATTGAACAATTAAGGATTTTGGCATCTGGGGGCATGCTTCGGAGGACTGTTGGAGGCTCTTGGAGGCCTCTTGGGCCTTGCTGGGGGTCTCTAGGGGTCCTCTTGGGCGCTCCTTGGAGCCTTATGGTAGAGCTCAATGTGTGACGCTCGGGGGCCAGGATCTTCGTAAGGGGAGTCGAAAAATGGCCCTCCAGGGGGCGCACTTATGCACATGCGCTGTTTTGCCTTTCTGGCACGCGCTGATGTCCGCCATGGAGAAGAGACTTCTGTACCCGTGGAGCAAATCGGCAGGTGCCCTGGCAAGGGAACGCGGCGGGGCCGACAGGCGGCGACAGCCAATTTGCTGGCACATTGGCTGGCAGATTGGCGGTTGGGGGGCACGAGGCCGCTTGGACTCGCTTGGGCCGTGTGGGAGGCGCAGGCCCTCCCGACGGGCCCTCCCGTCAGGCCCTCCAGGGCGCTGCCACCACAGCAATGCAACACGCGCTGCTCCCGGTGTTGTAAGATAGATGACATTGGGCTCCAGCTTCGCACCCAGCATTTCGCTGAGCAGCGCCAGAGCTCGCTGCCACTGCTTGCCCTTCTCGCACGCGCTGATCCCGGAGTTATAGCTGATGACATCGGGCTCTAGCTTTGATCCCCTAATCTCGCTGAGCAGCGCCAGAGCCCACTGCCACTGGTCGGATTTTCCACACGCGCTGATCCCAGAATTGTAGCTGATGACATCGGGCGTCAGCTTTGCCCTCCATATCTCGCTCAACAAACTCAAGGTGTGTTGCCACTGCTCGCCTTTCTCGCAAGCGCTAATGCCTGCGGTGTAGCTGATGATAGTGGGCTTCAATCCTGCCCCAGACATCTCGCTGAGCAGCGCCAGCGCCCGTTGCCACTGCTTGCCTTTCTCGCACGCGCTGATCCCAGCGTTGTAGCTGACTAGGGCAGACCTGTGGACTCCGTCCACGACATCAGCTCGACGTGGCGAGGGGTCTCTGGGCAAGCGCGGCGTGCCTGTCGCCTCTCGTCCGCTCCCCCGCTCCTGGAGGGAATTCTGAAGCCACTGAAGGCTTCGTGGGGGCCGTTTCGGAGCCTCTTCGGCCTTCTTTTGGGCCTCCCGGGGGGGCTCTTAGGGCCCTCTCGGGCCGTCTTGGGTGCCTCTTGGGCCGTCTTGGGGCCGTCTGAGGCCCGCCTCGGCGCCTCTTGGGCTGTCTTGGGCCGTCTTGGGCCGCTCCTGGGGCCGTCTTGGGTGCCTCTTGGGCCGTCTTGGGCGCCTCCTGGGCCGTCCTGGGGCCGTCCTGGGGCGTCTTGGGACCGTCTTGGGGCCCTCCTGGCCCGTCTTGGGGCTCTCTTGGGGTCCTCTTCGGCCGTCTTGGAGCGGTCGGGGGGACTTCTTGGGCCGTCTTGGAGCGTCGGGAAGCCGAAGAGGCGAGGAGGCCGAAAACATCGAAAAACACACATAGAAATCGACGATTTCTGTCGCTCGGGGCCCTCTTGGGAGGCCTCTTGGGAGGCCTCTTCGGGCGTCTTGGACGCCTCTTGGGCCGTCTGGGGCGAATCTCGGGCGTCTTGGGCCCATCTGTAAGCGTGCCGGGGCTCTCCGGGGCCGTCTTGGGGGCTTGTGGGGGCCCTCTCGACATGTCCTGGAGCCTGCCTGGGCGGCCCGGGGCGGCCCGGGGCCAGCCCGGGGCGGTTTTGGTGCATTGGAGCCTGCGCCATTCTGGCACGCACTGGGCCCTGCAATGTAGTAGAGACTAGGGCGAACCCGTGGACTTCGTCCACGTCATCTGTGGCCAATCTTGGCTAGAAATGGCCGTCTTGGGCTGGTCTTCGCTCGACATGGAGATGTGGTGGAAATCTTGCAGAAACCACCGACGAAGCAATGACTTCGTTTGCCGCGGCTCGTCTGGAGCATCTTTGAACGGTCTTGGACCGTCTCGGAGGCCCTCTTGGACCGCTCCCTCTTCTTCGTCCGCCTTCCGCTCTACCTCCGCCTGGACAGCGTTCGGAGCGTCACAGATGGCTTGGTGAGTCTGCGGTGTGCGTCTCGCCGCTGGTCAATTTTGAAAGCACCTGGGGCCTTGAAAAAGTCACCCGGAAGGCTCTGGTGACTTCTGTCGGGTTGCCTCTTCGAAGCCTGATGGCGGGCGCTGCCGTCTCCTTGGAAACGGTTTGGGGGCCTCTCGGGGTTTCCTTTCGGGCTCCTGGGAGCCTCTTGGGGCCCTCTTGGGGTGTCTTGCGGCCTCCTAGGGGCCTCTTTCGGCCCTCTTGGGTCGTCTTGCGAGCTCCTGGAGGCCTCTTGGGGCCCTCTTGGGTCGTCTTGGGTGCCTCTCGGGGCCGTCTGGGGCCGTCTGGGGCGCCGGTGGGGCCGTCTTGGGACCGTCTGGAGGCCCTCTTGGGCCATCCCGCTCTTGGGGCTGTCTTGGGTGCTTCTTGGGCTGTCATGGGCGCCACAGGAGCCGTCCAGAGGCCGTCTGGGGCCGTCACGTGGAGGCCTGCTGGGTCCCTCCTGAGGCGTCTTGGGGCGATCTTGGGGGCATGTATTGTCGTCTGGGACGCTTGCGAAACGAAAAACACGGAAAGTACGAACATTTTCTTTTTGGGGTTTGGCTTGGTTTTTGCTTGTGCGGGCTCTATCGGGCGTCTTCTAGGAGCCCACTTGGAGCGTTTGGGGGGCCTCTTGGGCCGTGTGGAAGCTACCTTGAGCGTCTTCGAGCGCTCTTGGACCGTCTCGGAGGCTCTCTTGAAACGTCCTGGGACGACTTGGGGCTCTGTTGGAGGCCTCCTGGGGCGTCTTGCAGCGCTCGTGGTCCATCTTGGAAGCGCACTGGGGCCTGATGGGCCTCGCTAGGGCCGCAAGGGCGCCGAACACCCCTATCGGACGCCCGCCCAATTCGCATGCACTGGTCCCTACAATGTAGTAGAGATGTCGTTGGGTTCCTGCTTCGTCTCCCGTATCATGTGGAGCAGCGCCAGAGCCTGCTGCCACTGTCCGACTTTCTCGCACGCGCTGATACTAGCACTGTAGCTGATGACGTCGGGATTCAATTTCGCTCCTGGCATCTCGCTGAGCAGCGCCAGAGCCCGCTGCCACTGCTTACCTTTCCCGCACGCGCTGATCCCAGCGTTATAGCTGATGACGGTAGGTTTCAATGTCGCTTCCCTCATCTCGCTGAGCAACGCCAGAGCCCGCTGCCACTGTTCACCTCTCTCGCACGCGCTGATCCCAGCGTTGTAACTGACTAAGGCCGACCCGTGGACTCCGTCCACGACATCTTTCTGACATGATTCTTGGAGGAACGGCGGAGATTCTGCCGAAAACCTCTAAGCACGGCGGAGGCCGTGGCGGCGGCAGCGAGACCGCACCTTCGTGTCCGAGCTCTTGCGGCACTCCAGCAGCTCGGCCCCGGCGCGCGGCTCTTTCGCCCCCCTCCTATCGGGGGCAGTCTTGAAGTCTCTCGGGGATGTGCGTCAAAATCGAATCCCATCTGAGGCGTCTCAAGAGCTCCCGGGGAAGGGCTCGGGAGGCCCTCGGGGGAAGTCACCAGGAGCGCCAGGGAGGCTCTCGAGGATCTCCAGGAAGGGCCCAAAAAAGAGCTTCAAGAGGGTGTGACATTGAATAAGATCTTAACAGAAGCCACTGTCGGGTTGGACGTGCTCCGTTACGTTGGGGAAGTCGTTTCGTTGGAGTTCTGTTCAATGCAAAGCTCTCTGGGGCGTGTCAGGAGCGCCGGGCCCCCTCTCTTGGAGGCACTTTTGAACCCTCTTTGGTCCACTGAAGGGCCTCTCAGGTCCTCTTGCGGGCCTCTTCGGGATCTTTTGGGACTCTCCTTGGCGGTCTGGGCTCCTCTTCGGCCGTCCTGGGGCCACGTTCAGAGCTCTGTACGCAGTCTGGACCCACATGAAGCTCTCTTCTGGGCCTTCTCGGGTTTCCTCCTCCGCCTCCTCGTCCTCCTCCTCCTCCTCCTCCTCCTCCTCCTCCTTCTTCCTTCCCCCTCCTCTCCCTTCTTGCCTCGACCCTGCATGCCCTGGATCTTGGATCGTCAATCGCAGACCCTCGGAGCATCGAAAGCGTCTGTCGGGGCCTGCGTTCTGCCTCTCGCCTCTCGTCCGCCACCCCTCCGTTGGAGGAAACTCTGTAGCTACTTAGGGCCTCTTTTTTTGCTACGGAGCCTCTAGGGTTCTCTTTCCTTGAAGTGGCGAAGGGCCAAGGCGGTCGCCCCGCAGGGAGAGCAGTGTGGGGGCCTCTTGGGGCTTCTTTTCCGCTTCAAAGGGGCCCCTTGGGGCCCTCTTGGGCTCTCGCCGGTGCCGTTTGGGCCGTCTCGGAACTGTCTTGGACGCCTCGTGGGCCGTCTGGGGGACGTCTCAGACCGTCTTGGGCGGCTCCTGGGGCTGTCTTAGGTGCCTTCTGGGCCGTCTTGGGGCCGAGGTGGGCCGTCTGGGGCGCCTACCTGGGTACCCGAGGCCTTGAAAGAAGCGAGTGTGCGAAAATAGTGCAAACACACTGTGAATCGTTGGCGTTTGCTTGTGGAGGCTCTCTCAGGGCTCTGAGTTCGTCTTTGGGGCTTCTTGGCCCGTCTGGAATTGGCCCGTCCAGAGGCCAGATTGGGCCGTCTGGGGGAGTTCTTGGGCCGTCTTGGGTCTCCTTTGGTCGTCTCCGAGCCCTCTTCGGCTCCTTGGGGCCTCACTTGGGACCCCCTTGGGGCCCTCTTCGTATTCGGTGGCATCTCATGGGAGCCTCCCATACCATCTTGTCGGCTCTTGCGAGTCGACGCTGATCGACGCTAAATCGACGTTGATCGAGGCTAAATCGACGCTAATCGAGGCTAAATCGACGCTAAACCGGCGCTATCTCATCGACTCCAGACGCTAATCGACGCAAGTCGACGCGAAAAGCGGAACTGAGAGGGTCTACCAGGCTCCCACGATTTGCCACCGAAGTGGTGCCGTCTCGGGCCCTCCTGGATGAAGGGGCCCAGGGACACACACAAACGAGCACGCGCAAATCCCAGGAATTCCCTCATATCTTCCCGTGCTCTTGTCTAGCTTCTCGTCTTCCCCCCCCACTTCCCATCTTTCCTCATACTTTTTTTCCTGGGGGAGCCGACGACGACCTGTGCCTGCGTGCGCTCGCCCCCCCTCCTGCCCGGAGCGCCCCGGGGCCGGCCCGTGGGGGCGCGCAGGGCAGGGCCCTGCAGAGTGGCCGCTGGTGCCCCCCCTCCCCACCCCACCCCCTGTGACTACCTGCCAGACCACCCCAACCCGACCATGATGGTCTGGGCGTGGCTTAATGGGGGGGTCACAAACGGGGGGGTCAGAAAAGGTCCCCTTGCGTGCCCCTTTCGGGCCCCTCCAGAGCCCCAGGGGGCTCGTTTAGGTACCGTTTGGGTACCTTTTCGAACCACCCTCGCCACCCCCCCATTTATGACCCCCCCATTACGCAGCGCCCAAATGGTCCGCTACCGAAAATTTCCGGTAGCGCTCCGCAGAGATCGGTCGCTACCGAAGTACCGAGATGTAGCGCCCAATACCGGTATCAGAGCGTTCTGAAACCCGCTATTTCCACGCCCTCAAACGAAGATCCGGTCGCTACCGAAATTCGGGGTGCGTCGAAATCGCTACCGAAAATCTCCGGTACCAGACCATCTGGGGAAGACCCGAACTTCCCGGTCGGGGTTCAGTCGGGCGTGTCCCCCTACAGGGGGATTTTCGACGAAAAATAGAAAATATGCAAAAATGATCCAAAATCAGGAAAAAATACGCAAAAGAATAGTCCCCAGACTATTTTTGGACTATTTTTGGATATTCCTCCTGTAGAGGGACAGGCCCGATTTAAGGTTGGGGGGGTATTACGAGGCGGGCATTTCTCCATATCCACCGCCTGGGAACCGGCGTCCTGGTGACCCAGCGGGCGGTGGATATGGAGATAGTTCGGCCCCCGGGGGTCCGAATATGTCCACATCCACCGCCTGCCGAGGCTCCGAAAACTGACCCTCCAGGCGGTGGTCATGTGTAAATTCCCGCCTCGGAGGTTTGGGCTCCATGTGTTTTTTGGAGGTTCCCGGACCCCCCCCCACTGGAAATGGAAGGCAAATTGAGGCCTTCGGGTTGGGTTGGGGTGGTTTGGTGGGTGGTGACCCCGGGCGTGTCCAGCACGCGCGGGATCCTGCCCTATGCGAGAGACCACTGCTGGCGTCAAATCACACCAGAGGAAAGCCCCAATCAGCGGATGGTTGGACGTGGGATCGATACTCTGACCTTCCAGAGAGCTATCTTTTAGCACTGCTATCTCTTAGCACTGGAGGCCCCAAAAACCTAAAAAACTGAACGAAACATTCTAAAAAGAAGACGTAGAATAGCTCTGGGATAGGTTTTGAAGTCCGGTGTTATTTTTTAGCCCTCCTGGAAGGTCAAGGTAGAGAGATCGATAAGGAGATCGACCAAGAACCCGGGAACCGAGGAACCTGGAACCCGCCGAAATCGGCCCGGAAGCAATGACCAGGAACCTGGGAACCCGGAGCCGGGAACCCGGGAACCCAGCCGGCCACCAAAATCGGCGGGAAACCTTCGCCCGAAACTCTCAATTGCAGCTAGGACCCCTTCAGTGCAAGCACTGATTGGGAAAAATTGCTTGTCCACAGACAGTGCTTCGACGGTGCCGTGCCGCCCCCAGACCCCCAAATTCAGTGTTGCGTTCGCGGCCGCTGTCGGGGTGCAAGCGTCGGCATAGAAGGTGCCGAAACTCCACCGCCGAGGCAACCCCGTTTTCAACATTGAGATTGTGGGGCACGGGAGTTCTGAACTCCGCAGCGTTGTCCATTATGCCTGGTGGGCGTTTTTTACGCCAACGACGGGATGTCAGTGGGCTCCAACTTCGATTCCCACAATTCGCCGAGCAGCGCCAAGGCCCGCTGCCACTGCTCGCCCTTCTCGCACGCGCTGATGCCAGCGTTGTAACAGACTAGGGCAGACCTGTGGACTCCGTCCACGACATCAGCTCGACGTGGCGAGGGGTCTCTGGGCAAGCGCGGGGGGGTGCGGCTGCAGGGCCGAAAGGCAATCATGATGGCGTCGGGCTCCAGCTTGGCTTTCCATTTAGGGCTTCGTGGGGGCCGTTTGGGGATCTCTTGGGGCGTTTTTGCCTGCGATATGCCTGTCGCCTCTCGTCCGCTCCCCCGCTCCTGGAGGGAATTCTGAAGGCACTGAAGGCTTTGTGGGGGCCGTTTCGGAGCCTCTTCGGCCTTCGTTTGGGCCTCCCGGGGGGCTCTTAGGGCCCTCTCGGGCCGTCTTGGGTGCCTCTTGGGCCGTCTTGGGGCCGTCTGAAACCCGCCTCGGCGCCTCTTGGGCTGTCTTGGGCCGTCTTGGGCCGCTCCTGGGGCCGTCTTGGGTGCCTCTTGGGCCGTCTTGGGCGCCTCCTGGGCCGTCCTGGGGCCGTCCTGGGGCGTCTTGGGACCGTCTGGGGGCCCTCCTGGCCCGTCTTGGGGCTCTCTTGGGGTCCTCTTCGGCCGTCTTGGAGCGGTCGGGGGGGCTTCTTGGGCCGTCTTGGAGCGTCGGGAAGCCGACGAGGCGAGGAGGCCGAAAACATCGAAAAACACAATAGAAATCGACGATTTCTGTCGCTCGGGGCCCTCTTGGGAGGCCTCTTGGGAGGCCTCTTCGGGCGTCTTGGACGCCTCTTGGGCCGCCTGGGGCGAATCTCGGGCGTCTTGGGCCCATCTTTAAGCGTGCCGGGGCTCTCCGGGGCCGTCTTGGGGGCTTCTGGGGGCCCTCTCGACGTGTCCTGGAGCCTGCCTGGGTGGCCCGGGGCGGCCCAGGGCCAGCCGGGGGCGGTTTTGGTGCATTGGAGCCTGCGCCATTCTGGCACGCACTGGGCCCTGCAATGTAGTAGAGACTAGGGCAGACCTGTGGACTCCGTCCACGACATCAGCTCGACGTGGCGAGGGGTCTCTGGGCAAGCGCGATATGCCTGTCGCCTCTCGTCCGCTCCCCCGCTCCTGGAGGGAATTCTGAAGCCACTGAAGGCTTCGTGGGGGCCGTTTCGGAGCCTCTTCGGCCTTCTTTTGGGCCTCCCGGGGGGGCTCTTAGGGCCCTCTCGGGCCGTCTTGGGTGCCTCTTGGGCCGTCTTGGGGCCGTCTGAGGCCCGCCTCGGCGCCTCTTGGGCTGTCTTGGGCCGTCTTGGGCCGCTCCTGGGGCCGTCTTGGGTGCCTCTTGGGCCGTCTTGGGCGCCTCCTGGGCCGTCCTGGGGCCGTCCTGGGGCGTCTTGGGACCGTCTTGGGGCCCTCCTGGCCCGTCTTGGGGCTCTCTTGGGGTCCTCTTCGGCCGTCTTGGAGCGGTCTGGGAGACTTCTTGGGCCGTCTTGGAGCGTCGGGAAGCCGAAGAGGCGAGGATGCCGAAAACATCGAAAAACACAACAGAATTCGACGATTTCTGTCGCTCGGGGCCCTCTTGGGAGGCCTCTTGGGAGGCCTCTTCGGGCGTCTTGGACGCCTCTTGGGCCGTCTGGGGCGAATCTCGGGCGTCTTGGGCCCATCTTTAAGCGTGCCGGGGCTCTCCGGGGCCGTCTTGGGGGCTTCGGGGGGCCCTCTCGGCGTGTCCTGGAGCCTGCCTGGGCGGCCTGGGGCGGCCCGGGGCCAGCCCGGGGCGGTTTTGGTGCATTGGAGCCTGCGCCGTTCCCGCACGCACTGGGCCCTGCAATGTAGTAGAGACACCATCGGGCTCCAGTTCTGTCTCCCACACCTTGCCGAGCAGCGCCAGAGCCCACTCCCACTGCGCGCCCTTCTCGCACGCGCTGATCACACCGCTATAGCTGATGACGTCGGGCTCCACCTTCGTTTCAATCATTTCGCTGAGGAGCGACAGCGCCCTCCTCCACTGTGCGCCTTTCTCGCATGCGCTGATTCCTGCGCTGTATACGATAGCATCGGGCTCCAACTTTGCCTCGATCATTTCGCCGAGGAGCGCCAAGGACCTTTGCCACTGCCTGCTTTTGCCGCATATGCTGACGATCGAAGTGTATTGACCGATGCTGACTTCCGCGCACAGCTGAGACGCTTCGCGGAACAAGTGAAGCGCTGCGCTCCACTCCTTCGCCTTCCCACAGTTCTTTAGCGCTACTAGAAGAGAAGGAGCACGTGGTCCAGACCCTCGCTGGACGCCAGGCATCTGAAGACAACTATATGCGCATGTTCTGCAAGACAGAATCGATGGAGGCGACGCGCGTAAAGCACATATGCGGGATTATGTACTTCTTCAGCTAGATGGTTATTGCACGGAATGAGCAATAAATAATGGGCGCAGGAACAAGCAGGAGCAAAAACCAAGAACAGGTCGGGAGAGGCGGGGGGAGGAGAGAAGGATCAGGAGAACGACAGGATGGGGAGGATATCCTGGATGAGTCATTGTTTCGTGAACCTTGTCATCCCCACGCCCGATCTGCAGACTTCACCGTCAGCTGGCAAAATATTTCACTCCGAACCGCACGGGCGCCCTTGCCCCCGGGCTCTCTCCTCTGGGCGTGGCTGGTGCGGCGGGCCACCCCCGCGGCTCTTTCCCCGAGGTTGCTCCCCGCGGCACGAGAGTGCTCCGCAGGATTTGTGCTGTCAAAACCGCAGACCCAAAGATCCGATCATGTGATTTTTCAATACGGGAGACCCTAGAAGTCTCGACCCATTCCCCAGGACCGGTTTTTCATCCCGAATCGTTTTTTGATTGTCCCGGGGCCTGGCGAGGGTCTCTAGAGGCCGAAAATTGCGAAACCCTCCGCCTTGATTTTTCCAATACGTTGGATCTCTGGGGAACCTGTGGTCCGCACCTCTCTGCCCCTCTCCCGGCGTAGCGGGTGGCGCAGCGGAACCTGCTCCGCCTCGCCGGAATCTGTGGTAGGGCGGCCAGCCAGTGTCCCCCCTCGGCCTCCAGACCCCCCTCCTTCCTCCCCCTCCTCCTCCTCCTCCTCCTCCTCCTCCTTTTCCTTCTGCTGCTGCTGCTGCTCCTCCTCCTCCTCCTCCTGCTGCTCCTCCTCCTCCTCCTCCTCCTCCTCCTCCTCCTCCTCCTCCTCCTCTTCCTCCTCCTCCTCCTCCTCCGCCTTCGCCTCCTCCTCCTTTTCCTCCTCCCCCTCCTCCCTCCTCCTCCTCCTCCTCCTCCTCTTTCCTCCTCCTCCTCCGCCTCCCCCTCCTCCTCCTCCTCATCTTCTCCTCGTCTTCTTCTCTGCTCTTCTTCTCCTCCTCCTCCTCCTCCTCTTCTTTTTTCTTCTCTTGTTCTTCTTCTTCTTCTTTTTCTTCCTCCTCCTCCTCCTCCTCCTCCTCCTCCTCCTCCTCCTCCTCCTCCTCCTCCTCCTCCTCCTCCTCCAGCGCCAGTCGGCGCAGGCACCGCAGCCTCACGTGGCAACAGCGCGGGGCTGGCCCGTCCGGCTGGCAGCCTGATGGGCCGTCCCACCACGGTGGTTGCTTGGCCACTGCGCTGGCGTGAACGCACGGCCGCCTCTCTCGCCGCCTGCGCCACTCGCTGGGTCCACGTGCCCTGGCCCACCACACCGCTCCGCCGGCCTACACTTCTCCATCTGGGCCCCGGCGCATCCACCCGAGGAGGAACAGTCATGACGGTCCTCCCTTTTCTTCACTGCCCCGCTGCTTCCGGGGATCGAGATGCCAAACGCGTGCTGGGGATGTTTCGCTGGCGGGGGACCTAGCCGCGGCCGAGGCCGGCCGAGGCCACAGAGGCTCCGCCGCTTCCTTGTCCAGTTTCCTGGGCCTGGAGGCCTCCCAAACGTGGCCCGCATGGGATCGGAGGATCGCTCCGCATCGCCGCTACACTAGAGGAAGAAGAAACGGCATAAACATAAACTCTTGGCGCTGCGCGCGAATTTCTTGGATTCGCGCTGCTCGGGATCATCATCATCATCATCATCATCATCATCATCATCATCATCATCATCATCATCATCATCATCATCATCATCATCGTCGTCGTCGTCGTCGTCGTCGTCGTCGTCGTCGTCGTCGTCGTCGTCGTCGTCGTCGTCGTCGTCGTCGTCGTCGTCGTCGTCGTCGTCATCGTCATCGTCATCGTCATCCTCCTACTCCAGGATGACCTCTGGGCAACGAGAGCAAGGGGAAGGGGACGAGGAGAAGGAGCTGGATGGAGGGGAGGATGCGAAACACGGAGAACGAGTGATGAGAGAACGAGGAGGGAGGGGCAAGGGGGAAGAGGAAGGGAGGAGAGAAAAGAGATGAGGACCTCCCTCCCCATCCTCCCCTCCCTTCCCCCCCGCCCTATCCTACGGGTGCCTCCCGGGGTTCTTGCGGGCCCCCCTTCTTGGACGCCCCTGGGACCGGCCTAGCTCACGACGGCGGCGGCGGCCTCGGGGAAAGGACTCCTCCTTGAGATCCGACATCGCAACAGACATGCAACATGTCGCGATCAAAAAAAAACGGCCGAAGCCCTGAACCACACCTCACTTCAGCATCATTCGATCTGGATGATCCGCGATGGCCCCGGGGCTTGAAGCTGGACGAAATATTGTTTTCGTCGTCGGCGAGGCAGAGGCAGTCCGCTCCAGAGTGTGGCTGTTCGGCGAAACCGAAAGGCGAATTGTCCTGCGTGCAACGAGGGGGGGAGCAAGACGAGGGCGGCCGCGCGCGGGGAGGGGACGGGGAAACAGCTCAGACGTGGAGAAATTCCGCGTAGAGCAGGCCGGAAGCGTCAAGAATTTATGTTCCTTTTCCAACCTCCTTTCTCTTCCTGCTTGGGAGGTCGACCTCCCCCTCCATCAATGCGTTTGGACGGGGGGGGGCCCGACCCATAGCAGCGTCCAAGATGGCCCAAGATGGCTCCAAGAGGGCCTCAGAGTGCGCAAGATGGCCTCCAAGATGACCCACTGTAGCGCTAGATGGGTCAAGATAGCCTCCGACAAACGTCCAAGATGCCTCAAGACGGCCCCACGACGGATACGAGTGCTGTCCGAGACCTCCGAGGACCCCCTCCAAGCGGCCAAGATCCTTCAACAACCCATGGACAACCAATATGTTTTGCCTTCTCGCTTTTTCGCTTCCGATGGGCCCTTGAGGCCTCAAGATGGCCTCAGGACGCTCCAAGATACCCCCAAGAGGGGTCCAAAAATGGCCCCAAGACGGCCCCACGAGCACCAAAGAACGCTCCAAGAGCGGACCCAGAGGGCCCCAGGACGGCACGTTTGAGCCTCCGAATGGGGGGTCCGAATTAATGACCCCCTTCTTTTTTAGCGACAGGGCCCAAGACGGCCCCAAGAGGCCCCTCAGGCATCCCAAGAGAGCCCCAAGAAGGTCCCCAGACCCCCCAAAGAGCCCCAAAAAGGCCCCAAAACGCCCCAAAAGAGCCCCAAGAGGGCTCCAAGAAGGCCCTCAGAGGACCTCAAGAAAGCCCCAAGAAAGAGCTCCAGGAGGGCCCCAAGAGGGCCCCAAAAGAACCCCAAGAGAGCCCCAAGATGGCTCCAAGTTTCGAAACGCACGCGAGCTTAAGATACAAATCGGCGCAACAGCCATTACGAGTCATCGAAACACCCCTCACCCCTCATCGAAGCACCATCGTAGCTTGCACCGATTTCGATCTAAAACTTCAATGCGGGAATATCTGTGTGATCCTTGTTTTCCAGAAGACGGCTGCGCGACTGCATGCGTCCTGCCGCCCCTGATTCACCAACTCCCCTGCTGATCGTTTCTGGATGGGCTAGTGGGGGTAACTTTTTGGTCAACAGGCTCGCGAGGCGGATCGAAAGCCGTCCGAACACCAGTCGGGCCGCGACTAGGCAGCAGGAAAAGAAAGGCAAGCGAAGCGAGCGAGCGGGCAGCCACTCAGAAGGAGAGCCAGAACCGATACTCCCAAAACCGGTGGCGTTGGAAATTCGGGTGGCGACCAGCACGGAAGCGCAACCAAAATGGCGCGGCGGCGCGACCATAAACACGCAGAGGTCGACCGCCCGGTGTGAGTCAGGTAAACAGCACCGTCAGAGACGAACTATACCGACAGGCACACCCAAACGACATCCGTGAGGTAGGCGACACAAATGCCAAAACATCGTGTCGGCGCAAGAATGAAGAGAGGCATCCTCATCACCGACAAGAGCTGGTGCGGATACTTTTTTCCGGTCGCGGCCGCGAGACAAAGGTCAGGCGGCGAGAAGCAAAGTCCGGGACACGAACGAGGCGAATTAACTACAGCAGGCTGGTGGGGATACGCGGAGCGTCAAGAATTCTCATAGCCAGCGTGGACCCGGTGTGGATGGTTTGGCTATGTGGTGGAGGCTATGAGGCTCATGGTGCATGGTGCAGCACACCTGGTGCAAGCTACAGGCGGCAACGAGGGAGCGGGGCGGCAACGTGGCGGAACTGAAACCTCGCCAGACCCACCCGGCGCACGAGGCGGCATCTGGGCGGCAACGTGACGAAACCCGCCAGACCCAGCAAACGCACGAGGCGGCCAACGGGCGGCAACGTGACGAAACCTCGCCAGACCCACCCAACGCACGAGGCGGCCACGGGGCGGCCACGGGCGTCAGCGTGGCGAAACCTTGCCAGACCCGACCACCTTCCGAGGGAGCCAAGGGAGCACTCCTGAGTGCAAGCGCTGCTCGGGGAGGACCCTGACCTCTCGACCCCGAACCCCGATCCTCGGGCCCTCTTCGGTCCTCACCCCCACGAGGCGGAACTCGCGCCCCCCGCCGGCCCGGCAGGAGGAGGAGGAGGAGGAAGAGGCGGAGGAGGAGAAGGAGGAGGAGGGGGAGGAGGAGGAGGAGGAGGAGGAGGAGGGAGGAGGGAGGAGGTGGAGGAGGGAGGAGGAGGGGAGGGAGGAGGTAGGAGGAGGAGGAGGAGGAGGAGGAGGAGGAGGAGGAGGAGGAGGAGGAGGAGGAGGAGGAGGAGGAGGAGGAGGAGGAGGCCTCCTCCTCCTCCTGGCGGCCGGCCTCGCCCGATCTGGGCCGCCACGTCGAGGGTGTCCTCCATGCACTGCCGGGACGCGGACTTCTCCTGGAGTCGGGCCGGCGCCCGACGTCCCTGCGGCTGGCTCTGTTTGAAGGGGCCCTGGGACACACAAAGAAGTACACACAGATAAAAAGATTCCCCATATTTTCTGGGCTTTTGTCTTCCCCCCCACACTTCCCATAGTTTCCCATATTTTCGGGGGAATCGACGATTAATTGTGTCTGTGTGTTTTTGTTCCCTCCTGACTGTTCCCGTCGCGCCGGCGCGGACGTCGGCTTCTGACACCGAGCAGGGACTGAAGTCTTGAGCGACCTCGGCTATCCGACAGCGGTGTCGCCCCAGGGATAGTCAGACCCGCAGCAGCAGGATGAGCGCCGAGGATGCAGGGGCCTTGGAAGGCCACGTCGAAGCTTTGCGAGCGGGGCGCGGCCGACGAAAGCGGCCAAGGATGGGCCGAAGAGGCAAGGATGCAAGGGTACCCTTGGGAAGGTTGCCCATCCTGACCATGCGGGTTGACTGTAGGCTTAGGTCGGGCCTTTCCC